TGAAAATATAAAATTTGTTACTTTCTGATTTTATTCTTTAAACAGAAAAATGTCTGCTCTTATAAAGATGTCTGTTAAAAAAACGAACACATTGGAAGTATATATATGCCGATATATGTATCAACAAAAAATCAAAGAAACCGAACTATACAAAATAAAATAAAATAAATTAGAATTTAAATTCTATAATAGAGAAATAATTGGGGAATAGAGGAATAGAGGAATGACAGAGAAATAAGAGAGGAATAGTCGGGGAATAGAGGAATAGCGACCGACCGGAATACATTCTGAAACGTTCCCTAAGTAGGTACAATAATCTGCCAGAGTTGCAAACAGTTTGCTTTTGTTGAACGTAAGAACAATGCATTTTAAAATCGTTTCCGAACTTCTGGGACACCCTTTATCTGGTGATGTTACAGCATCTTCTCCTTTGGTTTTTTGGGTATAACAGGTAAATTAGCAATTGGAATGACTGTTGTGGTGGTCTTGTCGTTGGTTGTAGTGGTGAATGTTTATTTTTATCGTTAACTGTACCACCTGGTGCTTCGGTTGTTTCCTGTGCACATCCCTTATGACTAACGATGTCTTTTTCGTTTGCAGTTCTAACTTCTTTCATTCCTGATTTATGTACAGTTATTCTATTTACTTCACCTTTATGAATTAAAAATGAATATTACACTTTTGGCCAATAATTAACACTTCATACAGATCTTTTTGTGCTACAAATATACACAATAAAAGCTCTTGTCTGAGGTCGTCGATTTCCTTTACTTACACATTGAATCAAAATTATGATCAAGATTTAAATCACTTAACATAATATTAGCGATTCAGTGCAACTTCAACAGTTTCTTGCATCAACTATGAAACACATAATATAAAACATATAATTATTCTACGACACATATTCTTTGCACACGAACGATCATAGTATAGCAAACTTTAGCTTAACAGACGTTCTACGGCAGCATCGAGCCGTGACATTAAACTATGTGTAACAAACGAAGTTATAGAAAATGCCTTAGAATATACAGTGGTAGGAGCAGCTATTTTTTACCATCTTTCAAAACAAGTGGTAAGCTACGACATTTGAAAAAGAAAAAGAAAAGAATGAACTTGCTGGACATTTAATTTTTTTATACATATCACCAACTGATTCAATCAGTTCACAGTGACTAATGAAATTACTACTATTAGTTGCCGTCGTTACTCCCACATCTACTGATGATGACGATGTTATTTCTGGCATTTGAAGTGGTACAATTTCATTACCACTAATTCGTGTCATGAATGATTCTTTGCCGACCGTACCGGTAACTTCATCTCTGAGTCTTCTATATTAATTGAAGTAATTAGTGTGGAAACATGTCGATTCCAATAATTAATCTAAGCTCATATATGCTACTAAGAACCAATATATTTCGATATTAATTAGTACAACCAGTTTATCAGATTCAAAATACTCCCAGATCGGTTACTGGAATCAATATGCACGCACATTAATTCGCTTAATCAATATGTTCACCCAGCAATTAATGTGAAAGCATACTGCTACCAGAAAGCTCCCACATTTATCAGTGGAATTAGCTTAATCCTTGTAAATATGTACTTCAATACGTCATATATATAATTCGATGTAATTTAACCTTACATATAAACCAAGAAATAACAAAACAATAATTGACGTTTCTCTTTTCCTTTAAAAATGCCCACTTTAAAACCATATCATCGTCAAAAACGCATTTTCAGTCAAGTGTCAGCGAATCGAAGATGAACGTTATTTGTTTTTTATTGCAGAAAGAATGAGTGAAAAATAAGTTTTCTGTATTTCTTTTCCGAGAGCTTTCTTTTGTAAAAATACTGAAGTTCTTTTAGAGAGCAATATATGTAGTATGCTTAGCAGCTTTTCGAGCTCTAGCCCCATTATATATTTAGGATAGCAAGGCAAGGCCGAGAGTCAGGCTTAATTATTTGAATGTGTTCTAATCGATCTATAAGTAATGCTTACTACTTGGAGGACTTGATGACAGATGTTTTTATTTAGGCTACTTAGTAAACGATCAATATCGAATTTATTCATTGTCTAAGTCTACAGTAACAATATAATAAGCAGAAATGATTAAGTAATAGAATGCAAAAAGTGAAATGACTATTTCAACTATTTAATCTGATTGAAAATAAACGAAGCATGGAACGGTCTTATAAACTTTTAGTTCTATAAGATATTCCTACAGGATTTTTTCCATGCGTCTGCTTATCTAACAAGTATTTCTGGAAAAGAAACTGAGCTATAAATATTAAAGTTTTCTTCAAAGGAAAGTAAAACCTGTGGCATATAACGATCTCCAAAATAATTAGTTGTTAAATATCTCTGTTTTTCCTTTTTTCTTGCTTATCCTGCTTGCTATGAACACGTATTTGTAAATGAACATTTCAATTGTGGTTCATAATTAATTCGTGGTTTATATACAAATAATGTTACAGCATTATTTTTCATTAAATATAAAAGATTTATTAAAAATTTCCATGTACTTGTTACAACAGGCATCAATGTTTGTTCACAGCAATTTTGAATACGTTCTAAATTTGTTGGTCCTTGATGTTGTAATGCATCTAATGTCAACTGATATGCACAATAATCATATGTACCTATAGCTAAATGTTCACTATACAAATTATATGGACAAATATTTTGAAGATAGATATTAATAATACTTTTATTGTCATTTTGATAGTTATTATGAAGTTCACTACTTGATACAGGTCGAATTATTTCATCTGTTTTTGTCATTATTGTTGTATATGAGATAGAATCAAATGTTTCTTGATGAGAGTTTAATGCATCTAAAAAATTAGAACCCACACGTTGTTGGTGAACAGCTGGTGCGCAGCCAATTGGTAAGAAACAAGCAATGTTCGCTATATATGTCCCATGATTACTTGGACCATGTGAGATTAAATCATCAATCATTTGTCTTATATCGGGCCAAAATCGTAAACCAAATCGTACTAAAATACCTCCTGAAGAATGTGCAATAATATTAATAAGATTTTTTTGATTATATTTATACATTTTTCGTATTGAATAAACAACATATTCTGTACATAGTTGTAAATCGATTAGGCCCTCATTTGGGAATCGAATTGTACAATAGGGCCATTGTTGTTCATCGAAAAATGTCATCCAATTCCAACCGAATAAATCATAAGGGTTTTCAGACATGCCGGAAACTAATAAAACTGGACGATTTTTTGAATAATGTGAATTGGATGATGGCCAAGAGCATTTTAATGCATTTGATAAATCTCTTTCTGATATTGTTAAAGATGGTCCCGGTTGATTCAGTTTGGAATAATTTGTATTTGTACATTTGACACATACCAATAAAAATAGTAATATAATAATGGTGAAGGAAACAATCATCGTCATCGTATGTGGAAACAAGTAGTATGTGTTTTTTTTCTTCATACGATTAAAAAATTAATCCTCCTTTTTGCATCTACGAACCAAATAGCTAATATTCTCTTTTCATGCAATGTCATTAATTAAAGAAAAAGAATATTTGTAATATTGAGAATACAATGACTTTTGCAACTGTACGAATTTCATCGTTTTTTATTAAGAAAATTAAAAATAAAATTTCTTTTATGAATTTTTGATCATCACGGTCACTATCAAACCCAACACATTAAAATATATGAAGAAGAAAGATCAACTAGACTAGATTTAACTTTGACTGGTCGATGACTAATGTCGTTGTGTTTGTATGGTGGAAAATATAACCATTCAACGTTTGCTTTCTTTCCTTCTTTCTTATGCACGCATAATTTTTTATATACTTGTAATAAGATCTTATGCATGTATAAAAAAAGAAGGAAAGGAAACAGAAATTGAATGGTTATATTTTCCACCACATAAATACAGTGACATTACTCATCGAAAAAGTTGACTTACTTTAGGAAGAAGGTTCAATTTTTGGTCCACCATTACTAAATATCAATCAGTACAGTTTGTGAGAGTGAGGAGCGGTGAGTCGAAAAGAGATGTCTGTATCAAAAGGTATTTCTGTGCTGGTGACCACTATGCTTTACCGGTACACTTTTTTCGATGTGACGAAACGAAAGTCATTCGTCATCAAGTTTTGTCATGATCATAAGTAATCATTTAATAAAGATTGTTTTGAGAGCAAACTTGAGTATTCATTCCTGTAATTTCTCTTAGCGCTTCATCACGAAAAGATTTACGATGCACGTTTATTTGTTAATGAAAACATTTCTTGTTGAACATATTAGGGAAAGATCCATCTCCCCCTTATGTGTTCTAAAACTATGTCAGTTTAAAGAGGACCCCTGATTACACATATCCTTCGGTTTTTTGATAACGAGGGTCAGTCAAATACTTCAGGTTATAGCCTACACTATGTCAAAATATAGAGGGGAGTAGAATTCTTCCTTAACTTTCTGAGTCCATGAACACCAAAAAGCACATGTTTCTGGGTAGAGACACCTCTCTTCGAAGAATGTTTACTCAGATAGTTGGAACCTCGACTTCATCATATTTTATCTGGTTTTCTCATCGGGAACATGAAGCAGCTATCTCCTTCAGTTCAGGATCATTTAGAGCCTCATGCCTTTAAAGCTCGTTTAGCGGCAGTTGTAACGAAATAAAAGACATTGGCTTCATCTCTTCACAAAACAAACGAGATAGGCTTGCATAACTGTTAATGACTTTTTTACAAGAGGAGTCCAACGCGTCCATTGTTTTGCGAAATAATTACAATACGTAGAAGTTTTCTTCATTCCTGAGTAAATAAGACTGTTTAGATAAGAAAAGATATATATATATACAGCTAGCAAAGAATATTGTATGAGAAGACAATGTGTTCTAATGTAATAACAAACATATTTTTCTTCTCATCTCACTTTTGGGTTTCTACTCGTGGAAAGTAAAAATAAATAAACACGTAGACAAAAAAGTCGCGTAATTTTCACCTGTGAGAGTCAGTGGATCGCCGTACTGAAGGTAAGTGTTTACGTGACACTTACGAAATCAAAGAAGAAATGGCATTTACAGTATAGGTTAGTATTGATTTTTTTTCAAAAACGCTCTCTCCCTTCTTTTGTACTCTCGCTCTCGCGGAACAGCCAACTGCAATAATTCATTGACTGACTGTAGTAAGCAGTCCTACAATCAACCAGAACTAAGTTAGAGCTAGGACTTAAAAATTTTTGTAAGGATTGAGTTGAGTTAGATTAGGAGTAAGGACTTAGAGAGCTGAGATCGCCCTTTTTTTTCTAAGTTTTTACTCACTCACAGGCTAATTTTTTAACAAATAACATGATTATTATGAAATTTGTTGGTAGAGCAGTTGGAAATAAGTATTTGTGAATCGAATATAGAACTGCTATGAATAACATGACTTTCAGTCTTGAAAATACTTTATTCGAGCTTTCAGTTGGCATCATCAG